CGAGCATGGTGGGGTCTGGAGGCAAGGTTTGGGCTTGCTGCCCTGGCCCTCTGCCCCACGGTCTAAAGGGAAAAGCTCTCTGAACACCATTGCATCCTCCAGCCAGAGTCTCTCCCACCTCGGTGGCAAGGGCGTGAGCAGGGACCTCAGCAGTGGAGGGGCTGGAGGATGCTCTGGGGACTGTCCCATCTCGTTGGGATCATTTCTGTAACCAGCACCCCATCCTGAGGGGCGTACAGCCTCCCTGGGCACGGGAGGGAGAGCTGTGCTAGCCGAAGGTGACATCTCCCACCTCCTCCCCTGGGGAGATGGAGGAGCTGCCCCTGATACAAACACACTGTAAATGAGACTTTTCTTCCTAAAAAAAAAACCCCAAAAAACCCACATGGTCCCAAGCATCCCACTGACTACCTTGGGCTGAACGTTTTGTGTCCCTCCCCTGTGCCTCACCATCCCTGCCTGGGACCCTGGAAAAGCTGAGTGCAAGAAGTGAGCTGCTTCTGCTGTAGCCGCCCTTTTTAATACCAAGGGGAAACTGAGGCACAGAGCTAAAACATGGTGGCAGGGAGCCTGCAAATCTTGTGTCCCCAACAGCTTCTGAGGTGGTCGATGGCTGGATCCACAGACCTGGCGTGGTGACACTGTGGGGTCACCACAGAGCCAAGGGGGGCTGCAGGAGGGGTGGCACTGCGGCTGGAGGTGGGCAGGGTGCTGGCGTCCTGCTCCAGCCAGGGTGTCACTGCCAGGTCAGGTTGCCCAGAGCATTAGATCAGCTTTAAAATATGTATGTACAGTCAATGCAAATCAAATCGGAATGTTTCCCAGGAAGACAAATTTAGTAAGAAAGCCCAGCAATGGGGGCCGAGGGGGTGGAAATGATCTGCGAGCAGGAATCCTCGTGTCAACGCCGTCCCTGCAGAGCCCCGCTCCTCGCCAGGCTGCGTGGCCCCACGCCCTGCTCCTGCGTCGCTCGGCTCCTCTTCAAAACCAACACCGGGGGAAAATCTGCTTTGGGGAGGGAAGGATTTACCTTTGAAATGCTGTGCTCTGCAAGGGGCTGCTGGCAAGCTGCGGGGAGCCTGTCTTTTCCCTGCTAGAGGAAAGCACTGGATTTAAACAAACAGAAAAAGAATAGGAATCAGCATTGTGATCCGTTTAGGATTGGGGTGTTAAGGTGTGAAGTGGGGCAGAGCATGGACATGGCAAAGTCCAGTGCAGGTGATGATGCAGCTGGGAGAAAGTGCGTGGGGGGGACTGGGATGGTTTTAGTGAGAATGGAGCAAAAAATTCCCCAAAGCCCATGTTTCTTTTTAATATCATACTGCTCTGCAGCGAGAGCCTGGCTGCTTTGCAGCCCTGCCTGCAGTTAGCTCTGCCCAAGCTCTGCAACCCTGCTTGATCGAAAGAAAAAACCTTCCCCACAAATACTGGTGATGATATTTAAAAAATAAAGAGTGAGGCAATGGGAGGAGGTGGCGGAGGGGAGCCAGTGAGTGATGGTCCAGTGCTGGAAGAGCTGGAGAGGCAGGAAAACAGCAAGATCAATCACACTGGCGTGGGCTCTTGCCTTAGCCCTGGGAAAGTCCTTAATGGATTGAAGAATTAGTATTTTTTTCCTTCTGGGATGTGCAAACTCTTTCAGTTAAAATAGAAACCAATAAGGAGACATCATGCAGGGAAATAAGTGAATTGGCCACACCAGTTTGGGTTTATTCCTAGTGGGGGAAAAGGGCAGTTTGGGAAAGGTTGGGGAGCTTTTCCTCCCCAGCGACTCATCAGCCCGTGGTCCAACCCTGCTGCCAGGGGCTCTGGCCAGACCGAGAGCTTCAACTAGCAAAAACCTCCAGGGAAACACTTATTTTGGTGGAAACTCCAGCTGAGACCGGAGGGATGCAAAGGGCCAGTGTGGGAGTTAAAAGGGCACAGCAACCCTTTGGCTGGTTGGAAACCCAACCTGAAGCCCCTGCATCCCCCAGCCTGGGGGGTCCCAACCCTTCCCATCTCCCCACAGACCCCATAGCTTAGTCCCATTGCTGTCCCTGCCTGGTTTGGGATGCAGAGGGGTGTCCCTGCTCCGGCACCAATCCCGGATGCCCTTGACCAGCAGCATGCGATGTGCTTGTCCAACCTCTCCCCTGTCCCCCCCTCACT